CTCATTGGCGATGGCCAGACAAGCGCGGGAACTGAAAAGTGTCTCCTGTCAGTTCCGCAAACAGCTTCGGCTCGATCGTAAGTCCTTTATTGTGGGGGTTGCGGAAGATGCCAGGAACTCCAAACCAAATGAAGTCTTTGCTGCCCTCAGGCCTGTTCTTAAGCCATCCAAAAAGCAAACGACCTTTCCAAGGCCGCTTCCTGTGTTACAGGATGAAGATGGGGTGACTCTGGAATCCATTGAGGAAGTGAATGCCAGATGGATCCGACACTTTGCTCAACTAGAGGCTGGGAAAGAAGTGGATGTCGCTGACTTTGTGTGCCGCATGTTGCAGAGACAGCAAGACACCTGCAAGCCGGCTGAGTACCTACTTGAGGACTTGCCGAGTCGTCTTGAGCTTGAGAAAGCTATTCGGAAGATGCGCTACCGAAAAGCGCCTGGGCCAGATCGCCTTCCAAACGAACTTTTGAAAGTTAGCCCGGGTGATGCGGCAACAGTGCTCTATCCGATTCTGCTCAAGATGATTTGTCGCTTGGAGGAGCCACTCCAGTGGAAAGGGGGACAAACCTTCTCCCTATTCAAAGGTAAAGGGCAGCATTCTGACTGTCAAAATCATCGAGGCATTTTACTCACCTCGGTGTTAGGAAAAGCCATCCGTTCCTCTATTCGTACTAGATTGAATGAGCCATACCTGGTAGCCACTGATGACTTGCAATTGGGTGGCAAGCCCACGCAGCAGGTCCTGTTTGGAACACAGGTCTCGCGCCTTTTTGTAGACCGAGGCAAACGAAAGCAGATTAGTACAGCCATCCTTTTTTGCGACGTACAATCTGCGTACTACCGTGTTCTGAGACAGATAGCGACAGGAGCGCACCTGACAGATGAAGATCTTGCTTTAGTACTGCATAGGATGGGCCTAGGCCCCGAGTCCATGTCACTCATCCATGATTGCATACATCAGAAATGCGCATATCAAGAGCTAGGAGCTGGACCGGTGCAACATCAGGTACTCCAAGAAACTTTGGAAGGCACGTATTTTACCTATACGGGCCATGAGTTCATTCAGACTCATCGAGGCACCCGGCCGGGTGACTCGTTAGCGGACATCGTTTTCAATTTGGTTTTCTCGCAGGTTTTGTCCGAGGTTCAAAAAGAGCTTGAAGCCAATGGGTTGATTTTGTATGTCTGCGCTCGTAGTGACCGAAACCCGTATACAAATGCTCCAACAGAACATGTACTACCGATGTTTCAGGTGACGTGGGCAGACGACTTGGCCATTTTAGCCGAATTCGATAGGGCTACACAAGTTGAGAGTCGCCTGGCGCTGATTTCCTATGTTCTGCTGCAACGACTGCATAAATACGGAATGAAGGTATCCATCGGTGAAACGAAGACTGCTGCTGTAGTATCACCGAGGGGACCAGGAGCCGTCGCTCTTCGTCGACGCTTGTTCTCTTCGACCAAAGCAGTCTTTCCAGTGCTGCTGGACGATGAGTTGATACAACTCCCATTGGTCTCAAAATATCGTCACTTAGGGGGTCTTGTTGATGCCAGTGGAAGCATGTTACCAGAAATCCGAACTAGGTTTTCTAAGGCACGAGCAGCCTTCTGGCGGGCTGCCAAGCACGTTTTCCGACAGAGGCGAGTGCCTTTGGAAACGCGCATGATGATCCTCAAGTCGACAGTACTTTCCATAATGACTTGGGGGGTTGGAGCCTGGGTTGAATTGAACCACCGTGAGCACCAGGCTTTCATCACTTCGGTCTGGAATCTGTATGTTATGATGTTGCCTAGGTCCATTGTAGCACCATCCCGAGATGAGATCCGATGCTACCTCAATTGTGAAGATCCTGAGGATCTGCTAAGGGTTGCTCAATTTCGTCATTTTGGAGCATTGCTGCGAACTGCCCCGAGTATCTTGTGGTCCTTAATTGCAGAAGATGAAAGTGCGATGCACATGTATCACAAAGCCCTGGCTTGGGCGTATTCTCTTTTGGGCCGGGATTCACCGGTAAGAGATGTCCTCGATGGGGAAGCCTGGCAGAATTTAGCAGCACAACCAGCCCAATGGGCCCGATACGGCCGAACAGCGCTGTATCGGGCAACACAAGCCAGGCTACGCAATGCAGCCACTACAAAAGCTCATCGAGCTATCTTTGACATTCTGAAGCATCATGAGCTCACAGATTCCTTGGTGAAGACCCGGCATAGCCATCATATTTGTGTGATCTGTGAGAAGGTTTTTTCGGCAACTCAAGGATGGTTCTTACATGCATGCCAGAAGCACGGCTACATTAGTGAATCCAGCGAGGTTGTACAGGGACAGACATGTCATTGCTGTGCAAAGGTTTATCTGACGAAAGAGCGCTTGAGACATCACTTGCGATATAGTGCTGAGTGCAGAGCTTTCTTTCGACAGAACAGAGGGAACCTGCCAGATTCTGGCGCAGCGATGTCGCAACATCCACAGTTTCCGTGGTATCGCCTGCAGCAAGGGGGTTTCAGTGGTCCACAGCCTGTGAATCGCGATGCTGTGAAAGTTCGCGAGAGTTTACAAGAGGCATTGCGCACATTCCTGTGTCCTGAGCAAGATGGCCATTTCCATGAGGAGCTCATTTTTGCTTTGAAGGCAGCGTGTAAAGTTCCTGTTCCATTCGAGACCATTCGTTCTGCATTATGGTGCTGGCTACAGGATTTCGAGAGGACCGATTCCCGGATCTTCAAAGCAGGCTGCGAAGTGCATAGTTGGCTTGAGAATCTTGCGACACAGACGCATCTTGATGATGTGCAGGATGGGGACCACATGCTAACAGATGAAACCAGTCGACGAGCAATTACTTGCAAGGCAACTGAACAAAAGTTGCGAAGTTTTTTGCCTTCGGAACTGATCATACTGCACCTCTTTAGCGGAAGGAGGAGAGAGAGGGACATCCAAATGGAACTGGAAAGCCTGCCACTCCCTGAGGGAGTTGTGATGACAGCGGTCTCTGTTGATGTCGCTATCGACCCGAGCCGCTGTGACCTCTCCAAGGATGACCAGCAGAAGTTGTGGCATGATTTGATCCGCGGAGGTTCTGTCGCCGGGCTGTATGGCGGACCGCCCTGTGAATCCTGGAGCATTGCTCGTTGGGAACAACTTACGCATGGGCTACAACGAGGACCTCGTCCAATTCGCTGTGATCCTGAGCTATGGGGTTTGGATAGCCTCTCCAAACGGGAGGGTCAGCAAGTTTTCATAGGAAACGTTTTGATGCTCTTCTGCTTGAAAGCTGTCCTTTTGCAAGCCCTCACAGGAGGTTTTTCGTGGTTAGAGCACCCCCGAAATCCGCATAAGAGTGGAACGCGACACACTAAGGCACCATCTATTTGGATGACTCAAGTCATTAGGTGGTTTCAAGAGACTGGTCTCTTTGCTTTCTTAGATGTGTTGCAAGGGTACTTTGGGGCGGACAGCCCAAAACCGACCACTCTTATGTTGTCTGGGGTTGAGCTCCCCGATGCACAGCACTGTGAACGTTCTTTGCGTAGTGCTACTTGTGCCAAGGGGTCCAACATAGGTCTAGAAGGAGGGAAGTGGCGTACGAGTCATCTCAAGGAGTATCCGCCAGCTTTTTGTCACTTTGGCGCCTCCCTCTTTCGACTATGGTTGGACCGACAGCCGGTCCGGACTGAAGCGTTCGCAGAGTCGACAGAATGGCTCAGGAGCTTGGTGCTGACCTTTGAAGATCAGCAGCTCCTCGAACCCAGACCGGACTTTTTTGCAGGCAATTAACGAATTCGCCCAGCAAGACGCTGAGCTTGACGTCGAGCACTATGCGTCAATGGAAATGGAAAATTATGTATTTTTGACACATGTATTTTGCAAATGCTTCACGCCACTTGATGCTGATTGTCACGTGTCGAGCCACCAGGAGTCGCATGCGAAGCAGCAAGAGGCTCTGAAGAGTGCAGAGGCCTGGTTTAGTCAGGAGCGATCACTCTGAACTTAGAGACAGAGAGCAAGATCTAGAACAACTGCTTCCCCCAGCAGCAAGGGTTTGGTTTCCCCGAGGACTTTAGCAATGTAGATGATACATCCTGCTTCGAAACACATCCTTCGCTCAAACAGGCCAACTATCAGCAGCTCTTGAAGAGCACCACGCTGCAGTGAGATGGCCCAGTTGTTCCAAATTTGCACATCATTCAGCTGAACACATTCAGGAAATTCTTCGCTTCTGATGCTTGAGTCTTCATGAGGTCTGTGGGTGCAGGTGCAGCTGGCAAGGGCCCTTTTTCTAAAGGTAAAGACCTTTCAGACAGTATATTTTTTGGCAATTATTTTTGGACCTTGGAGATGTTGCAAGCCTTCAGCCTGATTGGGTTTCTTATGGAATTTGTGTCATTGAGGCCTCAACCTGACTGGGGGGAGTGTAAGATCAGAGTTTTGTGCTACAATGACACGAAGCGTCGTGTCATCCACAAGCCTATACTGTTCCAGTTTCCGGAATCGAGTGTGCAAGAGCAGTCGTTTGATCTTGACGGGTGATAATGCAAATGCAAATTGCCCCTGCACCCCTGCCACAACCCGGGAAAGTGGGTACACATGAAAATGCACCTGCATTGAAAATTGATTAAACCCACTGAAAATCTCACTGAACATAGATTAAAACAAAAAAAATGCTGAGCGGTCTCGCCGCACCGATGTGCCGTCTCTCCGAGGTACCGTGGCACCTGTCCGCAGTGGCGGCAGCCGTGGGCATCGCAATGTGTTCATTCAGCTGGCCCTGCACATAGAACTCACAGGGGAAAAGGCTCAAAAGACAGGGGGAAGTGGGATGTGATGCTTTTCCACTAGCCAGCTTGGGCTAGTGGGCATGTGTCTTTTCGTTGGGGGCCATTTGGGCTTGAGCGTCGTTGGTTTGCGAAGTTCACTTCATGAGCGCAGAGAGTTGCATATCATGCAGGTGATGTTGTAAGGAACCCCGCAAGAAGCGGAAGGGTGTTGAACCTGGCACGAAACAGCGACCTATTTCAAACCCTCGTTGAGTACCTATGTATGGCTGATGGATTGGAGTCCGACAACTCCAAGGAGGCGGCCTTTTCGTGCACAGAACCGGTGCCATTTGTGCTGCCTTCCCTCCGCTGAACCAGGCAGAACTACTCCACGCCTTCCGCCTCCTTCAAACGCAGACCTTGCAAAGCCCGACAGCTGCCAATGAGCAGAAGAGGGCGGCCTGGCTGCAGCTTTGCTGAGCCCTGCTTGCCCCTTATGGTGTCGAATGTGTGCCCAACTTGTCAACAACAATCAACGAGAAGTCGATTGGGGGTGTTCAGACAGGTGCAACGCTCCAAAGTCCATTCATGCAGATTCTCTTGTCTAACAACGATTGGGAGTCATGTTTTTGACAAAGCTTGCTGCTGTCTTACATTGGGAGCACCAGGTGGTTTCAATTGATTCATGTCCAAAGGCATTGCAATCTTGCAGCTCTGGGTTTGGGGATTGTTTTTTGAGGACAAGTGTTCCACATTATTTCCACGCTGGCTGATTGCAGTGAACCTCTTGTTCGTGCTCTTTTGTGCCAGCTCCTGAGAAGTCAGCAGTGGGAGATTGCAGCAGTGTCGGTTTCACAAATCTTGCGTTGCTAGTTGTTTACCTCTGCAATTTCCGCGTCGGTCTGCACACAAATCATTGGCTTCGCCTTAGGTCTTGCTGGAAATCTGCCTCCATCCACCCTGCCTGCGCAGCAATCCCGACCTAAAATTGAAGTACCCAGCTCAAACGGCTTATGCGACTCTGATTACTTTGGTCTTCGGCCTGACCCAGCTGCTGAACGGCGTGCGATCTTCCTTCGTGCTGCTGGGCTGGCCCTTTAGAGACGATGCTGTAGATTGTGATGGATTATGACCCATGACCCGATTTAGGGAGCAGTTCTGTAGTTTGAGAATTGCAAGGATTTGCATGGATTTGTCATCAGACTCGTTTCTTTGAGGTTTGCCGGCTACCTGGCGGTCCTGGCCATCTTCGGCATTGTGGGTCACAATGACATCGTGCAAGGCTTCAGGCGGCCTCTTGGCTCAACTGCCTTGCAAAAGACAAAATCTGTCTTTGGGAGGAGCTGTTCTCACTGCTTGCTAAGTATTTCCAAGGCTAGGCCCTTGGCTGCCTCAGCTGCAGTTCGTGATCATTTGTGGTATTCACGATTCAGGAGAAGTGCTCATGCCGCTCATGGTGTTCAATAGTTCTTCCCTGCTTGGGCAAGTTTTCCCTCAGTTTCTTCAGATGCAGATGGGAGGAATACTCGAGTTTTCCCTTCTGCGGATGTTGGGTGGCCAACACAGAGAAGAGTGTGCCTTGGCCACACTCTCTAAGATGGACACCAGCTCCGTGTTCAAAGCATATTCCCCAGTTCTGCAAGCATGAGAGAAACTGCGAAATGCCAACGCCGGTGCTATCAAGTTTGTTGGTTCTCGCTCAGAACTGCCAGCAGTGCAGGGACGTTTCCACGAGCCCGGCTTTATTTGGCTACTTTGTGTATGGGAGTTGCTTGACAGAAGTGGCTGGAAGTCAAAATGTTGCATGCTGCGTCCATAAGATTGGCAGCTTTGCGTAGAAATGTAGGAACAAAAACGATCAAACACGGACATGTTGGCGGTTGGCTCGTTTGTCGCTCTGTCCATTTTGAGAGTGAATTGAGATGCTCACCCAGTCATTGCCAGTGTTCGCGGTGCTGATATGCGCAGGCTTTCGTTGGCGCGACCACCACCATTACTGTTGGAACGCCGGTGATCATTCAATGGGCAAAAAGCCACAGCTTTCAATTGCGGCCTTTGCTGCTGACCCTGGGCATGCTTCTCTAGATATGCATGATGTGCTGTATATGCTGTAGGCTTCCAAAGCTGTGTGGGCACCGATGTCTCAACACTTGGTTTCCCTAAGAATCCAGGAGCTGTTTCACACACTTGCCTTTCACACACTTATCTTCTTCTTGCCTTGCCCCCTTGACGGCCTATCCCCTGCAAAAGTTGCTGGAGAGAACCTGCCAAGGATGATGGTCGTAGCGGCGACTTGTGGAAATTCGGTCTTCGTGACCAGCAGCCCTTCTTCCATTGCCATTCGCGACATTATGCCGCCTGGTCCGGTAGCAAAAGTGAGCGCGAGTCCGGCTTGGCAAGAATCTGAGTGCTAGCTAGACACATTGCTTCTGTTTGTGAAATGCACACATGCATATGACGCGTGCATACGTATGACCCATAGCATGTGGTCAGAGCAGGTCAAGAAGGAAGGGGTCAGAGTCCACCGTGCTTCCATTTGTGCTGTGTGCTGTGCGACTGAGATGTAACTCTGACACCGGCTGTGAGCTGAAGTCCCAGGCCTTTCTCGCCACTCGGCTCGGACGCGGCATCGGCGGAAACGGACCGAGTGCCGACTCTCCACCGTGGGCGGCTTCGAGCCACGAGGCCTTGACCAATGCAGCGATCCTGGGCCTCTATGTGGTGATGATTGGGGAGGTGCTCTCCAGGAAGGATCAGCAGCCCCGACTCCCACAGGCACAGGATCGAACCCTTGCGGTTTCAAATCGGCAGATGCCAAGATCGTTTCAGACCTTTTGCCAATGAAAGAGTCGGGAGTTTTGACCCAGATCGGGCCATGATGAATACCGCCCAACTCAGTTGGTTCGGAGTGCACCGGAGGTGCACTCCTGTTTTCAGACGGTGAGGCCCAGCGGCGCACTGGCTTTAGCGATCCTGAGCTTACGAGCTGCCGGTTGGAGATGCCAGAGGCCGTGCTGCGACGTCTTGCGGCGCCTCGCGACGCCTGGCGGTGTGTTGGGGAGAGATGATCCCAGAGAAGGACCTGCTCCATGGATGTCCGTGCCCCTGGTGGCCCAAGGACCTGAAGGAGGTTGCATTCACCTGACTGGATTGGGTAATTACTGTATGGAGAATGCATGGCATTTCTTTTGGTTGGCTTGCGGGTTCTCACTGCTTGATTAGGGTTCTTTGCGTTTGGCTTGCCGATATCACTTTTCGTGTTTCTTTGGGCTTTGGCTTGCGGGGTTTGCCTCTTTAGGGTTCCTTTGGGCTTTTCTTGTGGAGTTCGCTTCTCCAAGGTTTCTTGGGGCTTGGTTCTCTAAGGTTTCGCAACCTGCACCCGACCCCCAACATCTGGCATCCAGCCCCGCCACCCGAGCCACCCGCCATCCGGCATGGCGCTCGGCATCCGCCACGGCAGTCGGCATCCGGCACCGACCAAAAAAAGGTATATACTCCTCCAGGCTCCAGCAAGTACCCAACCCCATTTACAACATTTTGCTACCCTTCTTCTATCCTGTGACATCTGCCAATGGCAGCATCAATGACAAGCACCAAAAACAGCCAGGGACCATGGGACAAACATGTTGGCGATAGCTTAGGCTTAGAAGATGACACCACGACGACACCATGACACCATGACCAGCCCTTGTTGAGCCGTTTTTGCTCAGCAAACGAGGTGCTCTCTGGTGCTGATGCCTCTGAATCGGAGGTCTCTGACCTGGCAAGCTGTCTGAATCGGAGCGGTCGAGGGGTTTGGTGCCTGGGTGACCTCGAAAGGAGGAAAATCGATCGGAAAATCATGGAAAATCCTTTTTGCAACTGCTCAGTGGGAGGTATGTGTGGCACCCGAGGCCTGAGGTAAAGGCTTGTAGAGGGGGACGCTCCATTGAGCATCAGCAATCACCCCGGAGATGTAAACATGCAGCTTGGTGGCTTCGAAGTCATTGTGTCGTCGAACTCCTCAGGACCTACTTCCCTATGCCGTGGGCTGAGTTGAGGAGTTGAGGTGGTCAGACCACTTGACATAGGGCAAGTGAGGAGCAGGTTTTCAGTGCGAGTTTGGTTCGGCCACGGCCAAGGAGCTTGATTTCGTGATTGTGGCGGGATCTCTGATTTGTGGGCACACCCCCCGCTCTGCCGGCTTTATGAATCTGAAGGAAGTGGCAATTCAGAGAATCTCAAGGTGCACACGACCGCCCTCCGCGCGGAAGTGAAGGTTGGTGTCAAATCTACTACTGTGGTGGCACCAATGGATTTGTGAATGCAGTTCAGCAAAGAACGTCTGTGTTTTCAATCCTGGTCCACCCTTTGGCCCTGCAATGATCAAGTGTTCCGGTTGGCTTTGAGGCTTGAGGCGTGCCACTGCAAGAAGCAAACATGGAAATGGAATGACATGGATACAATGCAAGTCAGTGTATGTGTGTGTGTGTGTCACCGTGGTGTGTCCTGATTCAGGCTTCTCAATAGCGCCACAGATAGTCCAGCCTTCCGGTCGGCGGAGGGCACGTTGGATGAATGGGTCTTGGACTCCGGGGACCTGATTGCGACCCGACTCTTGGCCCATGCACTTCTAACATGGATCCCTAGTAGTCCTTGCTCCTGGTAGCGATGCCAGGAGCCCCTAGTAGCGTCCTTTGCTCCTGGCATACAACAAAGATCAGCTCATGTTTCTGCACCATGTGCGGTTCACATGTCTGCATGAATGTCCTCGTCCTCGTCGCTCGATGTTTCGAGGATGCTCAGCAGCTGGCGTTGTGGCGATGCGCCGATATCCTGGGGTCTTTGTGATGAGAGGACCGAGTTTCAATACCTCTGGGAAGGAATTCTCCCGTGTGAAGGTTTCTCCTTTTCATCGCAGAAGATTTAGGGATTTCTATGCACCAGGACTTTAGGTGTGGAAATGTGGGTGACCTCTGTCCAGCCTTCTCACCTGCCATGTCACAGATCCCTTTCATCCAGCCTTCCAGGACTGCACTGCCATCAGGCTCTGGGTGGACGACGCCACGAGAGACGCCTGTACGAAAGCGTGGCTTGACATTTCCATACCAGCTTCAGCTCTTTGATGGTGCCAATGGTGCCATGGCTCCATTAGATAGCTCCAAGGTGATTGCAAGAGGCAGTGAGGTGATTGGAAGAAGCCTGGAGGCGGGAATGCTTTGAAAGGTCATCACAAGAAGCCAAGCGAGCGAGCGAGCGAGGGAGGAAAAGGATGCAAGGCCTGTTGAAAGGGGCAAGACTTTGATCCTTGTCAAGGGTTTGCTTGATTGCATTGCGAGGAGCTGCTGGGGCTGCCGAGCATGTCAGAAGCTACGCCAGCCCCTGAGATCTTGGCACCTCAGACGCAGGGTGCTCGCATTTGTGGGCCATAGACTCACCATGACTCACTCTAAATTAAAAAAGTCCTTTCCGCAACTCTCCATTCTTCTGAAACTTTTCTTCCGCAACTATTTGGTACTTTTCCGCAACTACTCTTCAGAACCTATTCTTCAGAAACTATTCAGAAATTAGTTCGCGATCTTCAGAAACTATTTGGCGATCTGCAGGAACTATATCGCAATCTTCAGAAACTGTTTCGCGATCTTCAGAAACTATTTCCGCGATCTTCAAACACTTATTTGCATGCTTTAAAACGTATTCTTCAGAACTTTTGCAATATTGAAGGAGCACTGGGTGGGTGGGTTGTTGACATATATACCTTGTGACGGCTACGGTATATACATGCCTATCTTGCGATCTGCGGACACTTTGTCGTGCAGGCTTGATGTTGCTCTTCGACTCTCCGTAGTTTCCGAACGAACCGTAGTGTTTCGGAAGATGAGTTTCCGACGAAGAGTGTCCGAAGAAAGCCGTAAAGTTTCCGAAGATCACCTTACACTTTGACCCACTCTAAAACATCATTGAAAAGCGGAGCACAAGTGCAAGGCATCTCCCCAGCATGATGCTCCAGTCACCACACTTCTTTGCTCCTGTTCCAGCTATCCAAACGGAGGAGATTCCCTGGTGCGTGCGGATGTTTCGCGGCTATCCCTTGGCTGCGTGCCGCCGGGAGGTTGGAGGGGATTTCAATTCGACTCAGTTTTTGGATTGAAGTGTGTGGTTCGGTCAGTTTGTTTGCCTCTCTCTCTCTCTATATACTGTATTGGTCTGGAAGCCTGATGGCTTGGACAGACTTGGACAGTAACTCCTGCATCCTGACTTCTGGCAGGGCGACCAAGTTCGAGCCCAACCACTGTCTCCGCACGATTTGCTCCAAGCGGGTGACGTGATGCTCATCGATGCCTTTGGGGAGCGCTGTCTGAGATGTCGAAACATATATCAGGCAATAGGTCATCGCAAGCGCGAGCTTGAAGTGTCCACCATCTCCAGGAGTTTCCTTCACTCCAAACGGCCAAACGCTTATTCTTGATATCGGGCTTGGTGCCAAAATCCCAAGTGTCCTGGCAAGAAAGGGCAGTGGCCTGCCAAAATAGAGGCGTATAACCGTATAACAGAAGCTGGACAAATCAGGCCAAAAAGGCTTCAACAACCTTGAGTAAGAGGGTGTGCGGTGGCCAGAAAAAGTGATGCCACCTCTGAGGCCCCTCGCCACGGTCGGTCAACTGATATGTGGCCCCTTGGATATGCTGTATGGGACAAGAGCCAAACTTTAGCACCTGGCAGCATGTGACCCAGCCTCGTGCCGCCTCGTGAGGCGTGGCATCATGGCAGTCCTTGGCCTTGTTGTGGCCCTTTTCCTGGACCGGGGTGGAAGAGGTTTCTTTTTGCATCCTCAGCGACGTTGCTTGTGGTGTTTCTAGTATTTTCAGATTTGCCTCTTGAAATTGATCATGTAGCTAAAGCTTGCAATGCTGGGTGAGGACTTGCAGAAGAGGCCAAGCATGCGCCAGTGATCAGCGGGGCACTCTTGTAGGGGTTGGACGCAGTGACGCAACTAGCAACACACCCAGCTGATACATTCATACACATCCGACGCATGCTTGTCTTGTGTTCTTGTTTGACTTGTGCTGGCTTTCTTGGCTGCTTATGACGCGAGAGAAACCTCAAGAAACTTGAGGAGACGTTTAGGCTTGTTTGCAGAAGCGTCGTTTTTCAACCGTCCCCTGCCCCCACAGCCAGATGCAACATCTTGGTGAGCACCATGGTGATCGCTGGCATGCTCTTCATCACCTCCGGTGTGAAACCTGACCAAGTCTCCGACACTCGTCCAGCGCCGGTCACCCAAGTGCGATTTCAGGCCGGAAGGAACGGCAAATGTAGTTGAGACCAATCAGACGAGACGCGAGACGCGAGACGAAAGAAGTGGTGCAAGTCTGGCGACCTGACTCAGAACAGCTTCAAAGCAGAAAGTGGAGTGTAGGCGCTAGGCCTGAAATCAAAAACTGCCGATGCCTCCCCTATATGGTGCCCAGACGGTCCAACCTGCTGAAACGAGAGTAGCCCCTAACTGTTGCTGCTGGACTCGCCGTGGGCTAACCGTGAACTTCCAGTTTGCGCTGCGCATTGCTGAGGAAGTCCTCGACTGGAACTCCTGCTTGACAATTGGCCTGGGTGAAGGGGTGGCCACGGCCCTGCGACGAACAGGCCATGGAATGGGATGTGAGTGATTTGCGACCACTTACGTGGTCTCAGTAGGTCATAGTCCCACATGCTTCTCTCATAGTTCTTTCGTGGTTTTTCCTTCTCCGTGGTCACCGTAGCTGAGGCTTGCAAGGAGCTTTGGCCAAGGTGATCGTTCAGATTCGTGCAATTGGAGGTGGAATCCTGCACAGAAACATCCCCGACTCCTCCTGAACCTGCCGGGTTTCATGATTGTCGTGGCCGGTTCGCCAGGACTTCCGGTGCAGTTGATGCTGTTGTCCTTCATTGCCCAGCTTGCGGCGGCTTGTATTTCACCCACCCCAGCAGGTGGGGAAGTTGGAAGAACGCGGAAAGGGACACAAAAGCGGAAACGGCCGGCCAGGGTTACTGGTGGCAAATGCGGCTTTGGCTTTGGACAATGAATATGGCCAGCTCTCCTCACGGTGCTATGCCTGGCAGTGCTAAGGGGCATAGGACCGAAAGGTTTGTCCCACACAAAAACAGAGGCAACATGATCTTTTTTGGAAAGCCACAACACTTTGTGGGGTATTTGCAAAACACGTGAGGCAGCTTCTTCTTCTGGTCTCTTGGCTTCTTTGAGGGGACAACATGTACTAGATTGTGGCACTGTGCCTCAATGTGCCTCATTGCTTGGATGCAGGTTGTTGTTTGTTTCTCTCCTCCACCTTGCTGTTGCGGCCAAGATTGTCATTTCCTCAAACATGGTGCTCAATGTGCCCATGCCTGATGAACTCATGCGAAACAGCAAGCGTGCATTCAGCTCGGGGCCTCAGCACCGTTCGGGGCCTCACTTTGCACATGTTGACCTCGGGTTCCTCATTGTGACGCTGACCGTCGGGCCATGGCGGGTCGCAGGTGTTCGCAGTGTGCTGCTTTGGTCGCTGCCGACCTTTGTGCTGGTGGCAGCATTGACATCTGCATGGACTCTGCTGTGCTTAAGCTGCAGCCAAGCAGCTGCGCGTAAGAATGTGACTGTGGTTTCCGAGAGGTGTTGTTGGTTTCATAGCAACAAGCCATCACAGAAGCCACCTGCACGGAGGTTTCAACTGCAGTAAAGCTTAAGATGCGATGCGACGACAGGAGACCACTTGGCTTCTGGGTTGCAATGCCTATTTACAACTTTTTTCTGTAGCTCTTTTCTTTGTGATTTTTGTGGAGTAATTCGCACCGATTCGCCGACTGCACCATATTTTTTCCCATGAAGCACTCGTTTGAAATATGTCGCTCGAATTGCTAGGGCATGAAACCATCCACCATTTCATGATCCACATGTGCAACCTGACTTGGAGCTTTTTGAATCACCGTGCATTCGGGGCGCTTTCACACGTTGAGGGGCACACTCCCATCAGACCTCCTAGTCCTTGCACTGGGCTCATAGGCCGATCCTGATGGCGCCCTTCCACAGGATTCAGAGGCATGGCTCAAATTAGTTGAGAGAAATGAGAGCTAGATGTATGCGAGAACTGCCGTGAGTGGGGGGTTCTTGTTCTAAACCCTTGGCTGTGCTGCTTTAGCCTTTGGAGGTGTTGGCCTGTGATACCGGCCCCGAAAAGGCCAAAGTTCGCCTCCTCTCATGGACTTCGAATGAGTGTCCGGCAGATTCTTCATCACTGGCCACTGAGATTCGATGAGAGGTGGAAAAGTGAGGGCGCTCCTCCAGAGCTTGTCATTTTCGTTCACGGGTGGTCGTGTTTTTCATATCCTTCGAAGAAGGATAGTGCCCAGGTTGGCGCAACTGGAACAGGCAAAACGACCATGCTGGGTGAATTGATCAAGGCCAAGTCACAGTACGACAGGTGAGACGATGGCACATGGTGAGTCGAAGCCCCTGCAGTGGCAGGAACATGACCCACCAGCAATGCAAAACTTCGAGGATCAAAGGCGAGGCTTTTACACAAAATCACTCAAAAAACAAGACAGCTTTAGTTGCAAATGCAGCCCGCGGGGATAACTCGTCGCTCCAGATAATTTTCCTTTGCAGGAGCAACTTGATGATGCATCATCAGATCCAGGTGAGCTCCAAATTTCTTGGGTTATGCATTGCCATGAGATTTCAGGCCTTCGACACGCTCCGACGTGATTCTTCCGTTTCACGCTCTGCCAGATCGGCTCGCGAGCGCTGAAGTTCCTGGACTGTTCGGGCAATGACCGTGCAGGGCATTTGGTGAAGGCGCACCTGAGAGACCTGAGAGGTTGGGCAGGTAGGACAGGTCGGGCAGACCATGGAAGACCTGAGTTTGTGCTGGGTTGCAAAGAGAGACCGCAAAGTTGAGAGAGTGAACCGCCTTCCATGTGTTTTTGCCTTGCCTTGGAGTCTTCACGGATCGGTGCAGAATTTCTTGGCTGATAGGAGTGGTTTGCTCGAACACAATGGGTCTTCGTTATTTACAGCCTTGCTGACCTCAGGCACGACACGTGACTAGATGGGTCTGATTAGGTAGGCGGGTCAAAGATCACCGATCGAGAGAGATATAGATATAGAGTCAAATAGAGTCCTAGAGTCGATTACCATTCTGCCACGTGATGCTACTTAAAGCCAGTGATGTTGCTTTGCGCGGTGATGTTTCTGGCTTCAACTCATGTCGTTTCCGGTGCCTTTCCGAGGTCCTATGAGAAGGCCTTGACGCTGATGGCGGAAGCACGGCAGGCTTGGACGAGAAGGCCTTGTGCAGGAAACAGGATGCACAGCTGCACAGAGCCAGGCTGGAGCGAATGTGGTGCTTTTTGCCAACAAGTATGTCCACCTCTTAGTAGCAAATTGGAGAAAGTTGGAGGAATATGCTATGATGTTCACCGCTAAGGATGTCAGCCGCGGTAAGGAGGGGCTGGCCGGCTTCCTAAGTTTTAGGACTTCTCCAGGGCAGGGCAGGACATTACTGGCAGCAAAACATCATTTGATTCGATAGCTTGCTCAAAGCCTGGACCCTTTGAGCTGGAACATCCAGGCCTAGAACATTGTTTTGCAACTGATGGCGTCAGGTCAATTTGCGAGAGGCCCATGACAAAGCTACACAACTCCAGGCAGGGAATTGTTCTTGAGATTTGGAACCCTGCGACTGGCAATCGCTCTTGACAATTCGATGGGTTCTTGCAATGGACACAGCTTGAGGCATACTCGGTGGAGGGCACATCGCTGTCTGAAGCTGTGAGGCCAAACCACTGTACTCATATCACTGGGTAGTAAAGACAAGACTCAGGAGAAGGTCACTTTAGCTGACTTCGACTAGTCCTGGCACGAAGGTTTGCGGCAAGCCAGGAGGAGCAAGAACCTGCCGAAGGTGGAGCAGGAGCCAAAGAAAGAACACATCCTGATAGTAACGTTTGGGGTGGTCAGCTTGGCTTCCCCCACGGAGGAACTCCTGCTGATGTGGGTGATGATGGGAAGGGGACCTAGCCGCCTCAAAACACCACACTCAAGACTTCTCAGCTCCCAGCATCTTGGCAATCTTGGCATATTTGAGCCTGCACGAACGCCAAGGCAACGCCGAAGCTCTATTGCAACTGCGTTTGACTCTGTGAAGCCGGCCCTCAGACCAGACAGGGGTGGACTCGGTGAAGCCACAGGGTTGACCAACTTTTGTTCGGATTAGCAACACCCCCGTTTAACAGTTCGATGGAGGACTCGTTGAGTGGCTCCATATGGTGATAGTGATAGTTTCAAACATTGAACATGGAGAAAAAACACCTATTGTTGCGACAAGGCCGAAAGGAATCGTCAGTTGCTTCCACGCAGCAAATGCCAAAAAGAGGGAGTGGCCATCCACAGATGTCAAGAGGGATGACCACGTGGTTTGTCCATTTTGTCCGGACAGGTGCTTTAGTTCCAGGGCTCGATGAGACAGGAACCATACCACGGTGTTTCTGCACCTGCAGTGAGCCCTCACTTTTTGGTGTTCACACCACATTGACATGGCAAGGTCTTGGTTTGGTGGCCCACCAGAACGAGGTGGAAAGGCCGAGGGCACTGTGGCAACATCATGTGGCATCACACCACAATGCCTTCCGATGGGGGCGAACCGGCCCAGCCTTGCCAGGTCGGTGGCGTGTTGCGTCCATCACTGAAGGGCACGAAAGCCATGAAACAGGCACACTGGGGGCAACCGTGATGCTGCTTGCGGGAAGTGGGTTCTGCAAGCCGCGATGCCTTTCCAAAGGCAGTCATCGAAGTGGAGTAGTCAGGGGCAAGGGAGTCAACAAGTATCAGTAAAGAGGATAACATTTCAACATATTCCCTACGGGTCCCTTCAACCTAAGATAAGCAGGTCACCGTGCATGACTGGGGACCTCAACGAATGCAGCGAAAATCAAAGGTTAGCCAGTTCTTTTGATCTAGTCTTCCGGAAAAAGGGCCGCTATTTTGTGCTACCATGCGCCAGGCCAGACGTGAAGCGGACCCCAACGCGGACTTGCGTCCAGTTCAGGAATTGCAGGACCAGCTGACAAACCTACAATATCAGTACATTATGGGGTGTGCACGGTGTGCATCAAAATGTGCTCTGGCTCAACGAACCAACCAGACATGACCAGACTATATAGTTTTTTTTCTCTCAATCTCTGTGGGTTTTGGCGTGTTCGTCCGTGGCCGTGGCCGCTCGAGGACTCAGAGTCTGCTGTGACGTGTGTTTGCTTCGGCCAAGAGAGGTTGCACCGGTCGTGAGCCCGCAATGTTTGGCTTTGGTGTGGTGCGTTTGAGAATCTTCACCATGGACCATGGGCACGTCCACAGGTCGTGTTTGTTTTGGCCGAGGTGGAAGACGTTGTGCTTTCTTGCTTGTACTTTCTGTTTCTTTTTGGTACTTGTAGTGGGCAGCCTTGGATCAAGCCTCATATTTCACCAATGGAGCTGGACCTTCACGCGCATTCACACCCCCCTGGGCCGAGCAACGATGGCTCGCTTGCCTACCGCCTCCTGGATTTATTCAAAGTTTCGGATGTTTGCACGTCGTTGAAATCTCCTTGGCCCAGAAAAGTGAGTTTGGATGTAAAGCATGAGGTTTCCGCTGTGATGGTTGCAAACATGGGGGGTAGAACCGGGTAGAAGTTCAGAAGTCCACTACGACGTTGCGAGCAAACGTATTCTATTTTGTAGGAGCTGGAGCAACAGAGCCGCAGCCAAGCATTGCAAAAAAACGCAGTTCAGGGCATGTATAGAAACATACCACCAGATGGAGAAGATGTATCTCAGGACTTGAAGACTATTTGTTGTCAGCATCTTGCTTGATGGAGCTCAACGGATTTGCGCAGCGCCATGCGCACAAGTTTGAAGATGTTGGCCACCCATGCTCTCCACGGCATGAGCTTCAGCTGCAGCAAGTGCTGCAGCAAAGTGAGGAACCAGTCATCCATTAGGAACGCCATGCCCTGTCTTGAACTTGTGCTGTGAGATGGAGATGACACCAGTTACTATATAATATTAGTCTAATATAGTTAGAAATAAAACCGCTTCGTTTCAGGTATGTTTCCTACCAGCCGCTTCAGGCCCAAGGCTCCCTTGCAGCTTCCAAACACGTGTTTTGGTCGATCGACCTCGATGGGCAAAACGGATCTTTCGGTCCGCCCGGCGGGTTCCAGCGACGTACCAGGGATTGACCGTGTTTTGCACGCTTCGTACTCAGTGCTGTTGCGTGGTGTGTATCAGGATGAGGAGCTGGATGCCTTTTTGCCACATATTGTCAACACTGACCAGAAACTGCTTGAGTCTGGGAGGTTGTTCGTTGCTACGGATGATCAAGGCACAGTTGTGGCGTGTGGCGGGTGGTCCTCAGTGGGGCCTGACTCTGGAGACACAGAAGAAGTGGAAGGTTTGGGCCACTTACGGCAGTTTGCGGTGCACCCTGGCTGGGCGGGGAGAGGCCTTGGGAAAAGTATCTTCGAAGCCATTCAGATGCAAGGGAGAGAGGTTGGTGTTTTGGACTTTGACTGCTGCTCGTCGCTGCTGGCAGAAGGCTTCTATGCCAGACTGGGCTTGCAAACTGTTGGTGTGAAAGAGGTACATGTGAAGGATGGAGTCCCTCCCATACAATGTAAGCTCATGACGACGCGATCCGATGTGGCTGCTTAAGGTTGGAGTCCATCTCCACGAATTCATGTCCAGCACAATGCTGGACAAAGGAATGCTCGGCCGCAGGAGCCTACAGCATGCTTCCTGTCTTCCTTTTAGAGACCGCAGTTGTACAGTGCACACTCCGAAAATGCCGGCTTCGCACTCAGGCGACGGAGGCCAGCGGCTAGTAGCCCGTGCGGTCCGTGTTTCTGGCTCAGTGAACTTGGACATTTGTGACTGAGGATCACCCGCATGATTGGTACGACCTTTTTCAGGACTGACTGACGGTGTTGGCCAAAACCGTTCTCACGGGCCAAGCGAGACCCACAGCCACATGACCATGCCATCCCATGTTGGCCACCATCGCTTAGGCCCCCCCATCCCACCAGGAGTATGAGGCGATGATGCGCAAGAGGACGGATGAGTTTCTCCACCGCGAAGGGGTCACAGCGGAACAGGCGGTGGAAGAATGTGTCCTGGCCAAGGAGACTGGGAGATTCTTGGGCCAGGCTTTCGAGGTAGGGTAAGAAAAGCATAGTGGCAGGGTTGGGCGCTCGGTGTCCCAAAGCCAAGTGGGAGGTGCTGAAAATCCAAGAAACTTCATGTAGAATCAAATAAGGCATAGCTGTGGCATATTTGCCAGCTTGATTGTCAGACATGCTCCTTTTCAAGCCCTCGGTGGGGTATGCAGGTTTCCGCAAGCGGAATGAAGGAAACTCCAAGTTCCAGTACTTTGTGCCTGAGCTGCGGCTGGTTGTGAAATTCATGTGCAAGCAAAAGGCTAGACAAAACATCCAATGTGGACCCCGGCTGGTGATTTCCAGCGGCCCTTTTGTACGGCATTAGCTGTAGAGTTAACGGTTACAGCAGGCGAGCCAAAGCGCTGCTAAGGAGTACCTTGCGGCTGCCGTAGACTATGTCCGCTTTCATGCACTCATGCTCGATTTCAAGGCCAGGATGAGTGAAAGCTAACAGCACATGACCTGCTTACTGTAATCACTGAAGCTCTGCGTTGACATGTTTTTGTTGTGCCTGAGGAAGGCAGACGTGATTTGACTCACTGGTGGACATGCTTGCAGCTGGAGGATGATGATTAGACACACGAGCTGTTTCCCTCCAAAGATGTGTCAGTGGGGGGTGAGCAGGAAGCTCATTCCCACACCACAGCAAGTCCACATGCCCCAAGCCTTTGAAGGGGCTCCTTGTGGATGTTTGAAAGCTGTGTGCGTTGTAGCCAGCACCCTGCTGGACAATTCGTGCTTAGACACTGCATGAACAGCCGCCTGGGACGACTCGGACAAGAGAGGGACCCGGTAGTTGTATCTCACTTGACTGGAGCCGGCAGTCTATTTAGGATTGCAGGTAGTGGCTTCAGCTATCTCAGTTTGGTAGATGCTGAAAACAATTGTGCCAAGTGTCCCAATTGTTGTCACGAATTGTGCCAAGTTCGTCAGCTGAACCGGGCACCTGCCAGACTAAGTCTTTCACAACGAGGTTCTCAGACCTGGCCAAAAGGGACTTTCGACATTGGACGTTCGTGCTTGGCCTAGAAATTGGCATATACTGTATATAATCCGGCATATATATATATACACCTTCCATAGGTTATCTGTAAGTTCTATACATATACAACCCCGTGCACGACACCCTAGTATTGAGGTGCAACGTTGCAAGTTGCGCTATCCCCGTGCACGACGGCCCATGAAGGCCCACGCGTGCCAGGTACATCCTCTTTGTCACTGCTTCCAAAGATGGCACTGTGGTGGTGTACCGATGCTACAGGCTCAAGCGACTGTTTGTGAGACCACGGACTCCCTGGAAACGAGCAGTTGTCTTTGTTTCAAGACCGGCGCCTTCTAGCCAGACTCCAGCCCCTGCGTGTGTTGAATCGATGTTGAATCTGTTTTCCTGATAGTTTGATGTCTTTTGTTGTCGACCTCGACAATCTTGGCACAGGACGGAGATGGAGATTGCCTTGCTTTCGAACGAAGACTTCCGGGGCGATACAGCCGCCACACTGCACTTGGGAGGAGGAATCTAAGAGCGATGGCCTCCAACCTAGTAGCGGTCCCCTCCAACCTCAGAGCAATTTTTAAAGATGTGTGGTGGGACTTGGTGAATTTGCACATCTCTTTGCATCCTGAGTCCGCGCCTCCGCCTGATCACTCCAACATTGCGGTGCCGACCTCCATACTGGGGCAGTGATGCGTGGGGCAGCGTGTCATGCTGTTGGCATTCTATCACCAGCACCTAGGTGCATTCCCGTTTGGTGGGGCATTCTCGCGCCATTACCTCGGTGTTCTTCAACCTGCTCGAGGATCAGCTGGTTTGCAACCCAGACACTGCAAAGTCAGCTCACAGTTGTTTGGGCTACTTGTAGAACATGGCTGCAGCTGAGCACATAAGCAACAGGGTGATTGCCACCAATTCTTGAGCTAGTTGAGCTAATATCATGTTCGTCCGAGACCCCATCAACTTGAGGGTTGCCTTTACCAGGTCTCGACCTCCATCGACAAGTCTGTCCGTTTCTGGAATGTGGACACTGGTGAGATGCTGAAGGTGGGGCCATGACGGGTGTAACTATAACTACCTACCCACCTAGCTAGGTAGGAAAGGGAGCAACACCGATGTACATCCAAAGGCATTCCGATGGCCTTTCTGATGAATAGGGGAGCCGTTGGGTGGCCCGTGTCACTGTAGGGGACTGGCCGGGACCGGCGTCCTAACATAGGCTGCAGACCTTCGAAACACGCCAATTATATCCAAGAATCAGAGAGCACCTATGTGGATGTGATTTCGGTGGTTTCCTTCGGTGTCAGTTGTTTGGCATTTTTTGGCAAGGTCTTTACCGACTCCTCGCCGGTGCCAGTCGCTGCCTTCCTGCCCTTCAACCCGCAGGTGGCAACTAGCAAAGTCAATCAGACTTGGAGGATACTTCTGTGAAAGGCATTGATGATGGAAGATAATGAAAAGTGCAACCCAATTGGTGCCGGAATTGGACTAGGATGCTTCACTGCTTTACCCCTTTGCCACTTGAATCGTTTTCTGCCCCGTTTGGGTGTTGAGAGAGAAGCTCGCAGATCTTTGTGGCCGCCAATTCCAATGCTGTTCTTCGGCTGGTGAATGTGCAGAACGGCATGGTGATACAGAAGCTGAAGGCCACAGTCCTTTCAAGTCGTGTTTTCCTACAACACCAATGATGGCCGTTGATTAATGGGCAGATGTTTAAGTAGATGGCTTCTGCATTTCTAGGGCGTTGCGGGGCTATTCGTTAAGAGTCAACCTTGTCCACCGCAGTGACGTAGTGGCTGGATCATTTTCTTCACACTTCAGACACCGGTGACGGGTTGTCAGTTGCAGGTGGAGACAGAGGTGAGGACCCTGAAGTTCGATGACACGGGCATGTTCCTTTTGGCCCGTGCCTGAGACGCCTAAGGCCTAAGGCATGCCTTCTGCTAGCTCAAGTGCTGGGAGTTGGGGAAACGAGAGCCAGGACCAGGATAACGCCAAGCAGTGACCTGAACTTCTCCACTGTAATCTTGCATTTGGTGCCCAACACATTCTACTGTCAAAAAACAGTTCAAAGTGAGATGTATGTTGCTTGCTCTTCCTCGAATTTGCAACGTTTTGAACCCAATACCTGCCATTCATTGTTCTGAAGGAGTGCATTTGCAGGTGAACGTGTGTTTTCTCTGGGTCAATCTTCCCTTTTCCAAACATCACATCACATTTTGATCACAAATTCTATATTCCAAGTTATGTATATATATATATATATGATTGTTCAATGCCCGAGGCTGAGGCTGCTCGAACTCAGCCTTGCTTGCAAACCGTGTTGCCGGGTAGCCGTGCCAAAAAGGCCACGAACTGGCGTAGACTGCCCCAATGCGTCTCTTCATCTCCTGGTCCGGCACGACAAAGGATTTGGTTTGTAGTCATGGTGCCATCGAAGCACAAAACTGGCCTTACCGGGCAATCTTCCGCACAAAACACAAAAAGACACGAAGACAAGGAGGTAGACAAATTCGTGACAGCCACCGAATAGCATGGCCCCCATTCGGAAATGGACAAGGCTTTTGGCAGGCACCAATACCACCACATGACTTGACACACACAAGCACCTGTTACCGATCAGACCATCTCATGCAGACATCTGGCTCCAGAAAACAAGTTGGAACGTGTCAGTCTGTTTATCCCTCACCCTCCAGGCTTTCTGGGGACAATCCTTCTCTCCCACACCTGATGTTTATACAGTATATAAAGTGACCAACTTAGAAGACTGACATGTCAACACACATTCACGGGGACCCCCATTTTATCAACACCAGTCCCTGCCAACCCTCCGCTTACACGGTCCATCGGATGTTCCCGCAGGGAAACCCATTTTATAAACCACAGACCCTGCCAAATCCCCTCTCACACATCGTATTTCCCACACCTCGTGCAAAAAATGCAGCAGTAGCAGCCATCAACAACCCGGTGGAAGCCCATTCCATAAACCACAAGCCCAGCCAAATCTCCTCTCACGAAGGCAAGTGTATGTTTCCAGAGGGCTAGTGTCTATGACGCATCCCTCCCGCCGTACCTGGGTTCAACCCCCGGGTGCATTACTAGGCGGAGTGGTACTTGAATCTTATAAGTACTTTATTGAATAGAGCAGAAACCTCTCACCCCAAGAAGCAGCACAAGGGGAATTCAACACATATTCCAGAGGTGGTGTCGGTACGGCATTCCTTTGTCTGAGGCTGGTACGAAGAGTGGCAGCATTCACGTGCTGGAGGTGCTTTCGAGATTTTCTCAAAACCTTTGGGTGTGTTGATGGTTTGCTGGTCTTTTTGCGCCTGATGCTTGAGAGGCTTGTGACAACAACACCCTGAAGTTCAAGTTCAAGGTGCAGTTGGCCAGGGGAGGCCGGTTGCGCACTGATTGCAACTGCAAAGGTTGATGGAAGCTTGATCATCGAAGACTTGTAACTCAAGGTGTGAGTCAGTAAAAATTTGGGAAGCGGCGGAGGGCATGAGTCGCGCTGAAAGCCCCTGCTTTTCCGCAGAGATTTGGTTCAAGAAGGGGGGTAGACTTGATGAGCGGCACAAGTGAGGTCCAGCGGCGGCGGCTGGATGAAGATTCCAAAAAGCTTTTGGAGACAGAAGCAACGAACTTAGCCTCCTACTACAGTCAGCTGGCGGAGGACAAGACGGTGAATCCCAAGCTTCGGGAAGCAGCGGTCCTTTATTCCGTCGCTGAGGAGCTGAGAACGGCTCTTCTGAAACTTGAAGTGAGGGCAAGTGGCCAGAACATCTTGTATTTTTGGTAGAAGCTCCCTACGGCGTTTTTTCCAATCCAACAAATACATTATACGCAAAAAACAATATATATATATATATATACACATAAATATAGACACACACACACACATATGTGACGACTGATTGACAGCCAGACTTGCGAGAGAGAGAGAGAGGGAGAGAGAGAGAGAGACACACACACACAGTCATGTTGCTCGTCCATGCCAGGAGCATTTGCAGGAGGAAGAGGTGGAAGAGGCCTTGTTGAAAGGTGGTCAAGCCTTGGACCTTTTCCGAGAGGCCAACAGCAAGCCAGGGCAACAGGATGCCGTCCGCCTCCTATGTGGAGCCGAGCGCTTGAAGTGTTTGGGATGCAATTGCAGCAACGCGAAACCGCTGGGGCTGTGGTGTGTGTGTGTGTGTACCCCTTGGAATCACAGGGATCCTTTTGGATTGTTCTTGCTTTTAGTATCTTCGTTTGCAGCAGGGGGACACAGCATTTCACTGGGACTGTGTCCAATGAAGCTACCAGTGAAATGGGATATCCAGCTTGGCCAGCTGGACGTACCTGCAATTTTCCAAATTTCCGAATGGCAAGAGGCTAAGCCAAGAACCTCGAAGATTTGATGTTTTCTTGGAACTGCAGATGCGAGCGGAACGTCGTCAGCCTGTTCGTCCGTCGTTCGTTTTCTTCCTTTTGGGCCCTACTTCCTCTTGAAGACCTCCAGGATCCCGTGGTTCGTACATGTACTCTTAGGAAATGGAACCCTAGGCCGGCGTGTGGCACCGCCGTCAAGTCAGTACGCATATCCATAAGTGTGTCTCTCCCAGTGAGAGTCCGGGATGAGCCCGCAGAGTGCCTCCCGTGGACCCGTTGAACGGGGGTTTGTCCATGTTCCCCCGGCTCTGGGAACGCAGATGTCCGCAGCGGACAGCAGATGGCTCATGCCTCAAGAAGTGGGATGTTTGTCTCATTTTTGGAATTCTAAGTTGGCTCATGCCTTTACGTGACCGCAGCGGTCCAAGCTGGCTTAACGCCTCAACGTGGTCAGAGCGACCGAAGCACTTTTGAGGTTCATTGGAACCTGTCGGACTCTTAGGTGCACACACATCGTACACACCTTAACGAGGCAGGTCTTCCTAGGTTGTTGAAATGAGGTCTGGGTTCATCGGTTCCCGTCCCCCCCATTTGGTTCCCTTTTCATCCTTTCCCCTTCACACACTTCTTTTCCTCTTTCTTTTCATGATTTTCATGTCTTCCCTTGCTTCATGTCCTTTCATCTCACTCCTTTCGTTCTTTTGCGCGTACAACGGTCCGGGCCTTAGTGTGTACGCGCACATCCACTTCTAACTCAGGTATCAGGTCGCCCAGGTTTCGACAATGAGGTTTCACCGGTTGTCCCTGTGCATTTGGTTTCTCCTTCATCGCAACCACACACACTTTTGTCCCGTCGTGTCTTCCTTTTCATGTCTTCACCCTTTTGTCTTTGCTGCGCGCGCATTTGCACACTCGTCCTAGCCTTAATTTTGCCTCCCCTCGGGGAGGCGTGTGTGTGTACCCCTTGGAATCACAGGGATCCTTTTGGACTGTTCTTGCTTTTAATATCTTCGTTTGCAGCAGGGGGACACAGCATTTCACTGGGACTGTGTCCAACGAAGCTACCAGTGAAATAGGATATCCAGCTTGGCCAGCTGGACGTACCTGCAATTTTCCAAATTTCCGAATGGCAAGAGGCCAAGCCAAGAACCTCGAAGATTTGATGTTTTCTTGGAACTGCAGATGCGAGCGGAACGTCGTCAGCCTGTTCGTCCGTCGTTCGTTTTCTTCCTTTTGGGCCCTACTTCCCCTTGAAGACCTCCAGGATCCCGTGGTTCGTACATGTACTCTTAGGAAATGGAACCCTAGGCCGGCGTGTGGCACCGCCGTCAAGTCAGTACGCATATCCATAAGTGTGGAGTGGTGGTGGTGATGAATGTTGGGTAGGCGCGCATGATGATGTCGGGTCCATGGACTACGTTCAGAGATTAGTCATGATTGCTCGGACCTGTCTTTTGATGCATTTCGCATTCCTTTTGTTTCTGTTTTGTAGTGATGCGATAAGCTCCCTTGGATTTTGGCACGTCCGCTGAGGCAGGCTCCTGATTTTTCCATTGACAAGATCCAGACTGAGTTGAGGAGCTTCAGAGAGAGTGACGACAAGCGTGGGCAAGGCTGCATGTTGTTGGCCCTTGCAGAGGCCCAGCTGGCAAAAGCCTTGGCAGGGGAAGCCATCAGCAACATTGAGGAAGCCTTGCCCCTGTTGAGGGCTTCCGGAGACAAGAGGCTTGAGGCCTTTGGCAATGTGCTGGCTTGCCGAGCGCAGCTTAGGCGCTGTCAAGCCAAGGATGCGGTTCTTTCTGCCGAGTCAGCGGTGGCCTTGTACAAAGAAGCCGGAGATAGGATTGGTGAAGGAAAGTCCTACAATTGGCTGGCCTTAGCACAGATGGATGCAGGTCGTTCGGGAGATGCGCTGAGCGCCGCACACTCGGCGCTGGAAATTGCAGAGGACCTCGAGAGTCCAAAGCTCCAAGCCAGTGCTTTGCAGCTCTTGGCCAAGGTTCACGTCTTCAAGGAGAAGACACGTCCTGCCGTGCAATATGCCGAGCGATCTCTGGCGGTCTGCCGAAAGATGGAGCAAGCCAAGAGCGAAGGTTCAGCACTTCGCTTGCTGGTGAACTCCTTGGTCCAACGAGGTGACCTAAAGCGAGCCTTGAAGGAGGCAGAGGGAGCTTTGGAGGACTATGATGCCAGTGGCAACAAGAGGGCAGAGGCAGCTGCACATGGCGCGCTAGCACATGTCCGGCAGGCCAGAAATGAATTGGAACTGGCAGCCAGTGAGCAAAACCAGGAGATTGATATTTTGAGAGAATTTGGTGACAAACATGGTCTGCTCGATGGCTTGCTCGTTCTGTCATCCATTTATGCCGCTTTGAAGAAGGCCGGACAGGCAAAAGAGAAGGCTGAGGAGGCCAAGCAACTGGCTGACGACATCCAAGACAAGAAGGCTGAGGTGCTTGCCACCATCGCCTTGGCAAATGCGCAAATTGTGGAACAAAAACATGAGGACGCAGCCAACACAGCTCAAGAAGCACTTCGAGCGGCTCAGGAGACAGAGGACAGGCGTTTGGAAGCAAACGCGCTGGCCGCGATCAGCAAGGTCTCCAGTGCCAAGGGCGAGCACGCGACAGCCGTGAGCAAGCTTTCGGAGGCAAAATCCCTTCTGCTTGAGGCTGGGGACAGACGAGATGCCGCGGCCACTTTGCTGACTTTAGCAGATGCGCATTTGAAGAACCAAGCGGCAGAGGAGGCTGTTGCCAGTGCTGAGGAGGCCAGAGACTTGTGCAAAGAGCTTGACTTCAAGAAGGGCTTAGCAGATGCTTTGCAGAAGTTGGCTGCCGCACACCTGGCCAAAGGTGATGAGCAGGAGGCCATAAAGCAAGCACTAATTGCCAAGAAGTATTGCAAGACCATTGAAGATGTCCGTGGAGAGACTCTCTTGTTGCATTTCTTGGCTTCCTCAAGCCTCCAGCGAGGAGACAAGAGTGGGCAAACAGCTAAGCAGTATGAGTCCAAGAAGCAAGGTGAAAGCCGAGCGGGCATTGAGGCCAATCGAGTACACCGGAATTCGGCTCATGAGGCAGTGAAACGGGCCCGGTCAGCTGTGGAAATGGCCAAGAGGAACCACGATCCCTATGCAGAAGCCTCCGCTATGGCTCATGTGGCCCATGGTTTGGCAATTTTGAATCGTGGTCAAGAAGCTCTTGGGACCTGCAAAAGGGCCGAAGATCTCTTCCGTGAATGTGGGGCGGTGAGCGACCAAGCCACGGTGGTGTGCCTGTCGGCGGAGGTCGCCAATTTGATGGGCAACAAACAGAAGGCTTTGGAGATCGCGAATCGGGCCCTGGAGCTAGCACGGCGTGCTGAGGATGGCCAGGTGGAAGGTCGGGTCCTGGGAGTGATGGAGCTCATCAAAGGAGTTCAAAAGCAAGTCCAACAAGAGATCCCAGACCAAATGTTTGCGCAGGATGTCCCTGGAGCACCTGCAGCTGCCTCGGCAGCTGCTGTGCCAAAGGGCTTGGATCCAGAAATGGTGCAGCAAAAGCTCATGGCCGTGGTGGAGCAGGTCTCAGGTGGTGGGGAGGAAGTGCACTTGGATACTCCTCTCATGGAATCGGGACTGGACAGTCTCTCAGCTGTGGCTTTCCGAAATGAGCTCTCCAGATCGTTTGAAGGGGTTGGCAACCTGCCAGCTGCATTGATGTTCGACTATCCGAGCGCACGTGCCATCGCAGAGCATTTGGTTGACAGAAGCAAAGGTCTCGCGTAGTACGATTCACCCATCATTTCAGCTAGGGTGATCCGCTCTTCCGATGATGGGTGGTGCAGCAAATGCCTGTCATGGGCGCAAAAAGAACTGAGAGAGAGAGAGAGAGAGAGTTACAGAGAGAGTTACGGAGAGAGTTACAGAGAGAAGGTAGAGAGGTCAATAGATGTGGAGCAAGGCTGGGCGGCTAGGCCCCAAATTTGGTGCTTGACTTTACCTCAGATGTTTGTTGTCACAATGCAGGTGTGACCTGTCTGGTATTTGTTCCTGCAGCTCATGGCCAGCCTCCTTGCCTCCTCGCCCTGGACTAACCTTACACAACACACAGCTGTGTCGATTTGATTGAAAACAGTCGTGCAAAGACTTCGTTTGGATGGCTGAGGTGAACACCTCTGACTCCTCTGCTTCGATTATCGATTGCACTTATGGACCTCCAGCCGGTGTTCGACACCTGGAGATTCCCCTGCTTGGCAGAGAGACTGCACGACCCGTGAGACTGTACGCGAGTTGAGCAAATGCAGGTCCTGACGAATCTAGCCGTCAGGCATCGCAGAGACCCCAGAGAGTAGAAAGCATCTTCAGATCTCTTCGGGTAGGCGGTGCCTAAAGGAACCTGGCCAAAACCGGTGCAAACATGCGAAATGCACCTAGGTGTGCGGGTGGCACATGCGCTTTTGCCTCTGAAGTGCTGCTACTCACCGTGGACCTGCCAGTGGTTGAATGACAGCGAACCGATAATTCGACGCGCGGCGCCCTTGCCAGGTCCAGCCAGGGATTCCTGATTTCGGCTTCAGAAGATAAGGAGGTGAATCACTTGAACTCCAGGAATTGCACTAGTAACTAGTAAGAAAGGATTGCAGACATGGCGGACATGCCGCAGCCGCTCCAGGTTTATATCTATTCACTTGCGAAGGGTGCCAATTACAAGATGAGCTACCTCAAGCACCACCAGGCGCACCGGCACCTATCTAAAGACCTTCTTTTTTTGGCTTTTCTTGTTCAGCCCAGACCCTCATAGCAAGACCGACAGGTGCCGGTGGTTGCTGTGGCAACTAACCACCAGGCACAAAACTTGCAGAATTGAAATGTGGGGGGTGCTTTTCGGACAGACATTGGGACAGGGACGGTTGTTAAGATGTTTCATAAGCTGCCAACAAACTTCGGCCCTTCGAGAATTCAGGACACCCTTCTTGCGAGCGCTGACTCTTTGGGGCGAGTGGTCCTGTGGAGAAGGAGAGTGAACTTGTGCTTTGGGTAACCCAGCGTTGTGGTTGCCACCACCTCTGGTGGTGTTGCTTTGAGTGATGAGCTTTCTGGAGGATGGACTTCTCCCACATACCGGACTAGTGCAACTCGTGCTTTGACGCCTTTCCTGCGACTGCCGCAGTCTGCTAAAATGTTCCGAAGCCCAGCCCTGCAGTTGCAGCCCTTGAGTCCTTGAATCCATTGCTCAACACGCCGCTGCCATGAGACAGACAGAAGACGGAATGATACAACTTCAGATTGGGGTATGGTGTCCTGAAGCCTCTTGACACAGACGGATATGGTGACTCGTATGGGTCGTATGGGACCAAAAGCCTCAGCTCCAAGAGAATAAGCTTAAACATCGTAGACGACCTTGCGGCTTGACCCTTGGGTTGGTGGTTTCATAGGCTTGATGTGATGCCATGTCGCGGTATGATGGCGCGCGGAGCGCCGCAATGTTTGGCACCAACGGTTTTGTTAAGGCCGTGAGCAAAGTAGCAGTACAAGTTTGAAAGCATTCAGTTGCAAGAGCAAGTCCGCACCACTTGGCTTTGTGAGGTCTCAGATCGCACATGGGATCAACCTCCATCCTTCATTGGGCTTCGGAAGTTGCTCGCCTTGCAACGGTCGACAGTCGACATCGCTAGTGTAGCTTAATGACAGGGGCCAAGGCAAGCGAGTGTTGAGCTGCTGAGGGTTCGATCTGACCCTGTCCTACAGACGGTCAATGCACAGGCGCTGGGTGCTGTTCACAAACCATTTGAGTTGATTGGATTTGTGAGTCCCGGAGACCGCGGACATTTTCACACAAACACACACACACACACATATGCAGACATCCACACATCCTATATCAACATGTGTGACGCACATCCTATGCGTTTTTGTGCGCTTGCTACTAGGAACAAGAAGCTACTAGGGGCTCCTGGCCTCGCTACGAACGGAGCAAGAGGCTACTAGGAGCTCTCCTGTTTGTGCGCTCCCTGCCAGAAGCGCCACCAAACGCGTGTGGGCGCCGGGGACGAAGGCGCGGGACGGACCTGGTGGGCCACCGCCAAAGCCGCCAAAGCCATGTTCTTTTTTGTTTGGGGGTACGTGGCTTAGGAGTTTGGTTGGAACCTATTTGGGATGCCAGAATGACGAATCAATTGGGTTTTGGAATCGATTTCTGAAATCGTTTTTGGTTTGTTTTGACGTAGAGCCAGCTGTCTTTGGCCTGGGGTCCGTGGAGCCAGGCTCACATCCACACCGGGACAGAACAAGCAGCAGGCAGGGTCTACGGTAGAAGGGCTTGGTGCGGGGTCTGGATGATCGAGGTCCATTGTTTGAGACACGTTTAGCGGATGAACCAGGGCATAGGCGGCATGAGGCTAAAGTGTTCGTGCATTTCCTAAGTGCCAACTTCACCCACCTTGGCTGGAGAAGAAAGCATGCCACACTTTTCCCAACCTTTGCAAGGAAACAAGCTTCCGAGACAAACGGTGATGTGCGGGGCCATATTGAGTGCCAGTCGCACGAGAAACCAGTCCGTGGATCGACTTGCTCCAACAGTCCCTTCTGGCAAACCGGGAAAGCCGACGGCGGAACACATGTAGAATGGTTGGTAAATCGACCAAATTACCCTAAACGACGACATCCGAACCAACTTTTGGACTTGATTTATGTTTTACCTCCGTGGCCCGCAATCCAGAGTTATTTATGCACACGGTGGTTATACTGAATCCCTAATTGGCCAGCACAGCAAGCAGATTCAAGAAGTGCATGTGAAACGGTCAAACCGAGTCAAACCTTTGACTTCATTTGGGAGAACTCAAGTGCCGCCCCCCCACCCACCGTCGACCCGACCGGAGTCCGAGGCGCTCAGCTTGTTGCCCCCGGGGCGGCTGGAAGAGGTGACGAATGCGGCGTTGGCCTCGATCGACGGGATCCGGAGTTCCATGGAGCACTTCCAGGGACGGCCGGGGCAGGAGACGTGGTCGAAGAATTTGGAAGAGTCGAACGTCCGGGTGAAAGCAACGATGTGGTGTGGCTCTTTTTCGACCTTTCGACCGAACACACTGAAGCAAGTGCTCTGGGGCAGGTTTGAGCCGTTGTTAGCTCCGGCTTGGAAGTTTCCTTCGTTTGCGTAGGGATGTGATTTGGGTTAATTTGTCGAGAAACCCATGGACATCCATGGACACTTCCGTTTGTGCAGGAGGTGGACGAACGGCCCGAGGATCCCGACGCCTTGGAGGATTTGCAGTTCAGGTTGGCCTGTTACCGTCACTCGGCACCCGCTTCGAGAGTGGACCGCAGGCAGGCTGCGGTCCATTTGAGATTAGGAGGCTTGATTGGGTGCTCCGAAATGCAAGCCCTGATTGAGGCTACAGTCGGCGTATTGAGCCACCTCCACTACCTTTGGCCATGGATCCGTCGCTGCTCTCCGCAATTCCAGCACGTGTGATAAGAATCGCTTGCCCAGAGTCACACTTGCAAACACAAAAGGATCGAATTACTGTATATCGAATTATCGCAGCTGGACTCACCTAGGACCTAGGACTCAATCAAGCTCTTGTTACATCCTGTTACTGTCGACGTCCCAACGAACACGGACGACCACCCGTACCGCACTGCGTCCGAGGTTTGGCCCAGCGCCTCCACGGCCCGATCCTCCGGTGCCCATCGTCATGTCCTCCACGCAGCTCCGGAGCTTCCAGCCACAGCGGCGTCGCGTCCGGCTGGCGGAGCAGGCGGAGCACAGGCGCCCGAGAGTCAGGGCACGAGCCGATGAGTTCTCTTTTTGTTGCTTTTTGATGAGGAGAATGTAGAATCTTAGAAGAATGACAATGAATGAACGAGATCATGAGATCATGTCCTGTGTTAGTGCATCCGTTGCCAGGAGACTGCGGAATGAAGCTGCCAAAGTGAAGCGGCAGATTGCAGAGCAGGACTGCAGTACCAGGGGCAGCCATCAACTAGTGATTCCAAGCAATGCCTCAAGGGATCCTGAACAGATCCTAACAGCAACGCATGGAAACTAATGCCCTCGAAAAAGCTGAATCGCCATGGCCCATGCTGGTTTCATAGTGGTTTCCTTGTTGAGCCAGCTTTGAGCAGTTTGACGCATTCTCTCACTTTTTGTGCGTAGACATTATCTATTTGTGACAGGTGGAGGTGGGCATGGGAGTGTACTTACCAAGCGAACTGCAGTAGAGGTGGGTTTGGGCTGAGTTTGCCATGAGGAGAATACCGAGAGGTATTCTGCAGAAATGGATCGCTACATGCGGCGAATGGATCGCTTTGAGAATGACAAAAGAATGAGCCGGACGGGAGGCATGAGTCCACGGATTCAAGTCACTCACAGAATAGACATGAACCATTGATGGCGATTGAATCTTATATTGATGTTTGTTCTCCTGACTTTCCACTTCGTGGCGCCCTGACCAGCATAGAGCGCTTGTGAAATACAAGGTCCACTCTCGCCGAGGTTTTTACATGTTTCATCATGTATCCACATTCTGTGCCGTGCATGTCGCACAAAAAGTCGTTTTTACACAAGCTGAATCAGCTGCGGTGTGTGCTACGATGAGAGGCCGTCGGCGCTCAATGGCATCGTTGTCCTTGGCACAGCAGCTTGAGGAGCTGTTTGTTCTTCTACGTAGGCCATCCCCCACACACAAGGATTTATGACCATGGCAGGAAGGAATTGAATCGGTGTATAGTATACATTGAATTTGTGTGTGTGTGTACTAGAAGGGTACATGATCTACACATGACATGTATATCCACTGGTGGTTCAAGGGCGGATCCGGATCAACACAAGTACTAACACAAGCCAATTCATAGCGACAGAAACAGGAGTTCTTACTTTCAGCTTTCCGGTACGTCGCGTACACGTCGTTCTAGACGGTTTTTCTAGTTGGTAGCGGAGCCGGTAACCCCGGCGTAGGATCCAGGGCCCCTGACTTGAAGTTCCATCGACGCTCGCTAGGACAGATCACTTAGGATTCATCCATATCAAGATATATATAGATAGGTGATCATGATGTTCTCACACACCCGCGTCGGAACGATGGTGCTAGCGGTGGTTAGCCTGATCATTCTCGGGGTGAGGCAGTCTTGGGGAGACCCAAGGCTGTCTCATCTTGAGAGTGTGATGGACACCACCGGAGGTCAGAGGTCTCAGCCAGTGCCCAGGCTTTCGTCCAATGCAAGCCAGCCTGGGCACATTCGTTCGCTAGGTGAGGCGGAAGGTCAGACATCTTGGAGGTTGCAGGAGGTCAGATCTTCGAATGCCACAGGTGCATCTCACGAGGCGGCGAAGGCTAGGACTCCGAAGCCCAATGACAAGCTTCGCTCCTACCATAGGGCCCGCCTTAAGACCCGATCGTCTCTGAAGGGTTCTCGGAACGCTGAGCTCAAGAGGAGGCGACGTAAGCGGTGGTTGAAGGCCCGACACAAGGATGCATCGCTGAATTCGAGTGCTTGGAATTCACCCAACGCTTCAATCTCCATCTCGGATGAGATCAGAGGGATTGTTGAGAGTACGCTGTTGGCGTCCAGTTCATCTCCCGAAGAGGATCTTGGTGGACGTCGTCTGATGAATGTGCCGATTGGAATCTTGGACAGGAGCATCGTCTTGATCCAGTATGTGGCTGCATCTTTGGCAGCAGTTGCCCCATGCTGTGTTCTCGGATTCATGCATCCCGGATTTGGTTCCTCTCGCAACCCCAAGCTGCCACCAAGCTGGGGGCCTGAGCTTGAAAGCAACTATCCATTCGTCCATTGGAGCCGTGATGTGCTTCTGTGGAGCATCATGAGCGAATGGGATGGTGGCCGGAAGGCAGCAGCGCTTCTCAGTGTGCTGACTGGCAATGCCAGAGAGCTTGCTAGGACGATCCCTCCAGCAGTGATCTTGAATGGAGGCGTGATCAATGGCCAGGCCGTGGACTCGGTGACCTTCATCATGCATTCGCTTGCCCAAAGGTATGCAAGGCTTGGTGAGGAACAGCGTCTCGAGGCCATCCAAGGCCTGCTTTCGTTCGATAGGCATTCGGGCGAGAGGATCGACGCCTTGCTGCAGAGGTTCGATGGTGCTAGGATCAAGGCTCAAGAGCATGGTAATCTTGTCCTGTCACCCCAAGGCCTCAGTTGGTTGCTTCTCAGGGCGGTAGGAGTTTCAGAACATCAGTTGTTGAATCTCTTGGCGACACCGCCATTGAATGGGAACCTGCCAGCAGATGATCAAGGTATGGAGGCATTGAAGTCAGCACTTCGTCGAATGGGCCACATTGTTGAGAGGACGCCAGGCAATGTAGCATCTTCGATGAACCGACCCAACCAAAGGTTCAATCAGGCATATTTTATTTTGGTGAGAATTTGGCACAAAGCCCAGATCAGTTCCAGGACATGTCATGGTCGAACTTTGAACATTATCCTGCAATGCCAGCCAATGATGCATCGTCATCGTATCAGCCTCCCCCATACCCATATGACACCCCAGCCGCATATTATGCCGATGATGATTCGTGTACAGATAGTGACACATCATCCAACACATCCCCTGTTCATGAGGAGGACATGCCAGAGGAGTTCGCCAGGCCGGAATCTGAAACGCATCGTCTTTGGTGTGCGTGCAGCCGTGCAAAGCAGGCCTGGCGTTCGCACATGAACAAGCCCACCCGGAGAGTTCGTAGGTTCTTGAAGAGGGGTGGTAAGGGAAAGAAAGGGGGTAAGGGTAAGGGTAAGGCTAAGATCCAATCCACAAGAAAAAATGCCAATGCCGGTGCGTATCTAGCATCATTGTCCGACCATGAAGTTGCATCCATGTTCCCCATGGCCAAGGGTCGCAATTGGCGCAAGTCGTCCGGTAAGGGCAAGGGCAGAAGAGGCAATCCCCGGGGCAAGAATGGAGAGGTCATGAAATGCCATCAGTGTGGTAGTACGGAACATCTTGTGAACAAGTGCCCACAACGATCTCAATCCAACACCACATTGTCCATTGAAACGCATGCACCATTGAGTAGCCAAGCAGCGCATGATCTCCCCCCTGGAATCATTAGTGGTACGTTCTTGATGGTTGAAGAAGCCGATCCATTGCAACAGAACGATCCGTGGAGTTCGCAATCGTATCCTATGCCACAGGGACAGCCGACCTCGTACGGACCGACTCGATCGCATTCGTACCAAGGACACATGCCACAGATGCCTCAGATGCCTTCGTTCCAGCCATCGGCCCCGTCAGTCATGTCATGGCAGGCTCCATCCACAACCACATCATGGACCATTCCTGCGACTCCCATGTCAGCACATAATCCATTGGCCCCGAATACAACATTCCGACCCTTTCCATTACGTCCCCAAAGCAATTCGCCTGCCAGTTCTCAACAGAATGATGCATTGCCTCAACAACCGGCTGACGCAGGATTCTTACCTCAAGAAGTACAACCCGAACGACAACCAGTACAACCAGATCGACAACAAGCAGATCGCCGTGACGCGCCAGTGCCCTCAGTTCCGTTGTGGGCCAACACGCCAGAGTTCCAATTCGTCTTTGGGCTCAACGCCACTGCCACCACCTGAGTTCGTGCGTCCGATTCAGCAGAACGTAGTAAGTTCATTGGATAGGTATCAAAGTCAGATAATCTCAGACATCCATGACACGTCTCTGCTGTTGAACATGGAGCCATCCCAACGACCTCAAGGTGAAGAGTCAATCGTGTCCGTCGATCCAAACCAAGCCGTGTCACTGCAGCCATTTCAAGTAGTTGGACAGACCTTGAATGCGTTAGAGCTCGAGCGAAGACAGAAGGAAAGGCGAGATCTTGGATCAAGAGTCCGTGCAGCCCTTCGCACTGTCGAGCCACAGCCTGTTCATGAGATTCCAGTCCCGTCCGCCACTTCTCGTGAGACATCCAATCATTCACGTTTTGATGGTTTTGATGGCTCAGTTGACACATGCATCATCTGCCAAGAGGAGTTCGCAAATGCAGAGCCGCTAGTTCGTCTTTGCTGCAGGCACCTGTTCCATGAGACTTGTTGGACCGAGTTGCTAGTCCGTGAAGAGCAGCCAGAGTGTCCCACATGTCGAGGAGCCGGCAATGTCATTGCGAACTTCAGGTATGTCAGTGTTGATGCACAGCATACGCCACGCCATCGTAACTCGCCAGAGGAAGAGACCTGCCAGGCAGAAGCAGCAAGGGAGTATGGCCATAGGTCGTATCAGTCCGACAAGCCCAGTCCCATGGTGATTCGAGGTGTCGGCAATGGCACGCAGGGTTGCACTAAGTCCACCAATGTCCCGGTGGCTGTCCCTCGCGTGATTCGACCGCAGGACGGGTCAGATCGACCTCTCGCTCCTGGTGCAGGAGAAGCTGTTCGTTTCTCCTTCGAGGCACCAGTTGTTGATGGTCCTGGCGAAGATCTTCCTGCATTGCTTGGCTTGAAGTCCTTGACAGGACGAAGTGCTGTGCTTGAGATGAGGGAAGGCCAAGAGCTCCTCACCTTCCCAGGTGCAGAGGGGTATCAGATCTCGTGGGGCCCCGGCGCGATGCACATCCCGTTGAGTCGCGCACCGAGTGGCCACCTCGTTTTCTGATGCCTTCTCCCAACTTCAAGCTGCGCATGGAGTTGGCAAGTCTGGAGTCTCCTACAACCTCCTGTCGGAGGTGGAGCTCCAGCCATCCGGTGTTTACGTTACCGGCGACCCGAGAGCGACAGCTTCGACCGTATCTTCGAGTGCACCTCCTGATGTGACCACGACCACGACCCCAAGTGCACCAACTGTCGCAAGGCCAATAGCACCGACTGTAGCACCAACACCGGTTCCGCCAACTACAGCACCCATGGCAACAGCATCATCGTCCGCAGCAGGTCCAAAGATGGAGTCAAGTCCGATTGCACCAGTGTCCGACCCGCCGCAGGTCAATGTCCCTCCTGCGACTCCAAGGACAGCGCCACCGATCGGCAGCATCTTTGAAAGAATGGTTTCATCATCATTGATTACAAGAGGACCGCCACCTGCCAAGCCGAAGTCAGTAGA